CCCATTTTTCATGCTATCATAAGAGGTGTCGAAATGATATGTTTTGTATAAATTTGGGTGATATAGCTTGAATAGTTTGGGAGATATATATATATATCAAATTTTATAGGGGCGGGACCACGCTCACTTTTAAAAAATTTTCAAACCACAGGTGCCCTTCATTATTGCAATTCGGTGTACCAAATTAAAGTTTTGTATCTTTATTTTATAACTTTTTAATTAATGGCGTTTTGTGGGCGTGGCAGTTGACCGATTACGCCCATCTACGAACTCGTCCTCAAAATCCTTTTCTGCAAAGAAACATGTGTACCAAGCTTCATTATGAAATCTCCATTTTTACTCCAGTTGTCATCAATATCATTTATATTATATGTTTTGCCACATTCCCCATATCTATCTCGATTAGTTTTAGGTGATACAAACAATCGTTAGATGAACAAAAATATTATACTTTGAAGCAACATGTTGCAAGAGTATAAAAATAAAATCAATTTTGAACCAACAACGGTTTAGGGCAAGCAAAGTCGAATCTCACGAGTGTATGTCTGACATGAGAAATCCACTCACATAATCCATCAGTCGTGGTATATGCGAAATAAACATTGTAGAACCCTCTGTTCGAAGGATACATGATTAACATATATGTATGTACTTCGCGATTCAATTATTTTTAAAACACACATACACTAAACTGTTTATTTCAATTAACTAAAGCATCATTTAAAAATACATAAATATATCTTCGACGAATTTCACATAATGATATATGATTTCAACACATGTTGATGTCAGCACCTAACAATGCATTGCACAAAAACGAAAATAAAAATAGTCATACCCAATATATTTTCCAAATTTTCAAACTTAAAATAGCCACAAAAAGTTTTGCCAAACTAAATAAGTTTCAATAAGAAAAAAAGAAAAAAACAAAGAAATCGTTAAGTAATGCATATGCGCATATAAATATACATATATGAATGGTTTGCCATATTATATCTGTTATGCAAAAATCATACAGACTTCTTGAAGTAGATATACATACTTTTATGTATATTTTATGTATGCAGGCTGTGACTTTTCCCACTCATAAGTCATCCTTTGGTCACGGGAAGACAAATGAGGGAAATAATTAACCAGCAACCACTATATGATATTTTTAATACATAAATACGTATATGCATATGTACACACTGCTCTCCTATATATGCATGCTTATGCTATACTCCTTCGAACAGTCACACAAAATTATAGGCGAGTGCGTCAAGTTGACTTGGAAACGCACTCATTCAAACATTCAAATGGGCAAATAATAAGAATTTCTATATAATTTGCATATAGCGTTTATTTATTTACGAGTAAATAGTGCGGCAAATTTGTCTCATGCTAGATACATGCGAACATACGACTATATAGTTTTGGTGTGGGCGTACAATATCTCATTTGACTGATATGTTATGCGTTTTTACGCGAAAATTTTCACTCAACACGTGAGACATTCGGAATTAATTTTCATTAGTCAATACGACGGCAGATAATAAGTGGCCTTCTATTGGTTTGAAACGGTAATTATGAAATAGAAAGGTCAACTGCAAATTGTATGATGTTTATTTTTATAAGAAAATTTATGATTAAGGAAAAATTATTATTATTTATATATTATTTTATTATTATTATTATTTATCACATACTTAAACATATGCGTAATACGAGTATACCATATATACATACACATATGATATGTACATTAAAAAATTAAATTTAGTAATTTTGTTAGCATGTATGTCTTTCAAAAATGTTATCCAAATTCAATCACGTGAAACTCCATCATGACTAGATTTGGTGACACTCCAGGCTTCGAATTAAATCTGACAGCCAACTCCTTATCAAATATCTAACCTGTATGTATATATGTACTCGTATGGACCATGTGACCCGGACTGGTATATTTAAACTGCGCGCACAAACCCAATCGATAAAAATTTGATTCCTAGATTGGTACAACTATTTTTATTTTCGTATTAACTTTGATCTCTATATGTCAGATAGTCTTTAGCAGTTAATTTTTTTTTATGACGCAAAAAGTCTCTGGCGATATTAATATAATACGGACATATTAATATAAAATATAGGTGAAGAGACCTTTTTTTGTTAATCCGAGTCAAATTTGATCAGATGGTACATCTGTGTTTATGATGATTACCACCAGCTACCATAAAATTATTATTTTTCTATAGATATCCTGACCTAACATAGGTATAACATAGATATTTAAACTATTAAGCGCTACCGAGTAAGTAAAGACAGAGTCTAAAAAGTATATTTATCATATTTCAACTATCTGAACTCTCTCAGAGTCCAAACCAACTAGAAGTAATTATATCAGTGAGAGAAAAGACTGTACTATCATATACTTGTAAATTGTACAAAATGTAAGATGATATGACCCCTAAAACATCAACAGGAGTTTCTATATCTTTCCTATTATTTAAGCAGATATAATAGGTCCATTTTGTTTTTTTAGAAGGGCTTCTTACATGGTAACCTTGCGAAATGTGTAATCTCAAGCAAATATCATTGACACAAATTAGCAATTACAGTATATTAACGCTTAGAGAAAGTTTGGACTGATACCAGTAGTTTCTGGTATCGAACTACCCACTTAGTGTTTTCCAGGTTTTATATCTGGACTGATTTATCAAATATAAAATTAACCATTATATCGGAAATTTATATCGAGTCCTCTAGCAGAAGATCTGAAGCGATTTGATCAGATTTTGTGGTCAAACCCGTTATGTTAATACTTAACAACTCTTTCGATTAACTTTTTGAGATATATATGTATATTGTGGCCAGGAAAGTTCTCGACTAGTTTTATCCATATACATATATATCGAGTATAATAAAAATATAAAAGGGCAAAATCACGACTCTGGTCCAAATAAAATTCAAAATCAAATGTATCGTTTAGATGGCTATAATAGTTTGTGAGATAGTAAACTAAGCCTATGGAAAGAGAGACCATTTGCACTCTCAGTTTTAAACTAACCTCTAAAGACCGTCGGATTTGATCGCAGCATAATTGTAGACTAACTTAGAGCAGTATAGTTAAGAGTATTCGCATATATTTTGTGGTCGTGGCAGTTGTCCGACTTCATTTACCATAGTCAACTGGAAATTCAATTTAACATCGACAGATCACGTAGCTCGCCAAACATTTAGCTAAGGTAAACTGGTATTGAACAATTTAAGGTTTAAGTATTTTAAATATATACCATACAAGCAACAAATATCTGTATATCCTATTTTTGGACGGCTCGTGAAATTAATAAATTGTGTTTAATGCAAACATTTATCAACACTATTGGTTGTCATAGAAGTTTCCCCAAATTTCATTCATAACAATTTGATCGATAAACACATGACAGAAAATTAAGAAAAATTCAAATAGCAAACAATAACAATTCGATGAAAGACGAATGTATAAATTATATTGATAAACTTTTTAATAATTAAATTATAGATCCAGATTTAAAAAAAAAAAAAACTTGTCTTCAAAATTTTACGCAAAGGAGTACTTTTTAGATTTAAAATATTGTGACTTGTTTAACTTTTGTAACAGAAATGGAGGAATTACGTGATGCCAGCATACATCACACGGCGCAAAAGCTCGCCGTTGCCATAAAAGCGATGAAAAATTACGATGAGATTTTCAAAAAAGTTCAGGTACACGAAAATAAAGTATATATACTCCTCAATTAAATATATTAAATGCTAGAGTTTACTTAGATACTAGCTTGCAGTCCAGGTGTTGATAAGAATGACCTACGCAATACCCTAGAGGATGCCATCAAATCGACTGGCCTCGAAACGGAAATTCGTAATATAGTATTCCATTTGGTTCGTAACACCCTAGGTACAGAGCCAAAGTCTGAGGAGAAGATATCACATAGCGCCGACCCGTTGGCCTATCTGCGACGATCGGCTGTGCAATGGGATCGACGTGTACGTAAAAGTTTGAATGCAATGTGCGCCGAGTTGAGTATGCCACTGCATGGACAGCCGCGCGCCGTGATGGATCGCGATGAGTTGATTAGTAAATGGGAAGAGTTGAGCAATTACACAATTGGTGAGTGAGTCCATGGTTATGAAATTATGGTTGATGAAATTTGATCTTTGGATAACGAGGGTAATCGTATTTTAAATTTCTCTCGAATGCAAAATAAAAAGAATATATATTTTGTAGAGGTATATTTAGAAACTTAGTGGTTATCAGCATTAAATTTTTTAAAGATTTTTAAGGGTAGCGGCTATAATTTATTAGGCTATCAGGACAAGCCTATGAATCGCATGAATCCGGTTTATTTTCACCAGCAGGTAATAGATTATTGCAATATAAGCCTAGTAGAATCCAAATGTATTAAATATCGAACGAGTTGAAGTCAAGACCATAAAGAAGTTTGTTTGATAATATTGCTTTTTCTGACTCTAATGAAGGGTAGTTCAATCTGTCCATTTAATAATTGTCTCGGGTGTTTGGCAAATTAGTCATCATATCTTCATAAAATATTTAATAGATTTTAAGAAACAAAATTGTAATTATTTGATCACAAGTATTTTCTCTACTCGCTTATTAGATCTTTCCAACTACCGGCCCGTCTATGCGCCAAAGGATCTTTTGGATGTGCTACTGTCACTCAAGGGCCCCCAAAAACCGCCCGAAGACACTGAGTTTGTGTACATTTTTCCTCATTATTATTACTCAGTTTTGCATATAAACGAATTTAAATTTTAATGCTTATAACTTTTTAATTTTTTTTTTATAGACAAGTGCCTAACTGGGAATTCTCACACATCGAATTGCCTGTCAAGAATCTCTTCGAATTGGTAAAATAGCATATTTTGTAGTAATAATCATGTCAAATAATCTCATCGCTACTTCAAGCGTCTCTTATTCGCTGAATTGTTTCGCAAAGATGGTACAACAAATAATTTAGACTTACCCACACAATGTAAACGCATACTAGACACCAAGCAAGCGCCACTTTGTCAACACTTTCTGAAGAAGGGACGGACACCGGCACCCTTTCGTGGCGAACTCTGGTCCTTTGTGCTGTCGCATGGTAGCTATATGAATGGGCAGGTTGGTGGAAAAACTGATTGTTGCTGTCGAAGATCACTTTTAGATTTTCTTAGGAATTGTATGATCACTTGCGTTCGTTTTCCCTAATATATGGTAACACTCATCATTTTTTTTTTTTATAAAACAAATTTGCACTTTTCTCACTTTTTCTTTTCTTTTATGCTTTACTTCACTCATTAATTCACTTCTCTTTTCTCTCACTTTAGGAATGCGATCACTGGGCACGTTTGCGTAACAAAGTCTTAACCACCGATCATATTGTGGATAAGCTTATCTTTAAGGATATTCAGTTGACAGCTTCCAACGATGATCAGTATTTTGTTTTCGAAGATGTGCTCTATCAGATAATGCTTTGCTTCTCACGTGACACAGAAATCGCTAATCAAATACAATTTGAAAAATATCCAGTGAAGGGTAGAAATTATGAGGGTCCACCGTCAGGTGTGGTACCCTTCCACGGTATCTGCATGTTTGGTAAGCGACAATGAAATTCCTGCTTATTTCGTGTTTTGGTTTAGTCTTCATTACGCTCTATTTTTCAGCGGCGCCATTTTGTTATCTTTATGATTCATCTATAAATTTGTACTTCACGTTTCGCGCTTTCTATATACGTTATTGTCATCGATTGACCACAATAAATACACATCCACAAGTTAGTATCAAGTCGCTTAGGGCATTTTGAGGTTAGTCACGTGTTTAATATTGTCATTGCAGGGCATTGTTAGCTTGTGTTTGTTGTTTGAGAAGCTGCTGCAAACACATGAACCGCTGCTATGGTCGCATTTTCGTGAACTGCAAATACAACCGTAAGAATATTATATTAAAAATTATCCTATAATAGTTAAATTAGGATTTTATTTTATTTAAGAATAATATATTTTATCTTTTCAACTCAGATCAAATCAATTACATAAGATCATCTATCATTATAACAAATCATGTGATCTTAAAAATAAAATATCGGCTGAAATTCTCTTAAACCAGGCAATGCAATGCTATATAAGCTTATGGCCATTCCCTATACATACCTTGCCATAATTTCATCACAATCACATTTATCGCTTCTGTGTCATAACATTTAAACGAAAGCACATCCAACCTTATGTATCCTATGTAACTTTACGTCAATATGAATCATTATTACTCACTACACAATATTATTTTCCAAGTATCAAACCATACAATACATCACATGATATAGACTCAGATCGCAACATTTCATCACATCATGCCATAACCTCATATCTCATCATTTCCTACTGTATGTTAGATATAATATTATGGATAGTTCTGATCATCACACTAAATTTCGTAATTTTCTGAACATTAACACTTCTAAATCATTTCTTATGGTCGCCTGTATTATGCAGGTATAGTAAGATCACTTCACATCAGATCTTTATCTATCATCACTTTCTAAGCAGTACTTGATATGACCACTCAAAATCATATTTATTATGTGACTCTTTGTCACGTCACGTTCCGTCGTCATCATCACATCACACTTGTGTTAGAGATACATTTTGCAAGCACAAATTTTTTGAACAGTACATGATAACAACTTTTAAAATTTTGCAATATCACCAAATCACATATTATTTATTATTTTGTCATGTATATCCCTATATATGGCAGTATGTAGTGTGGCATTAACATTTATAATAGAATCACACCCTCAGTGGTATTTTTGAGGATGTTAGTGAAAAAGGTTATATCAGAGATAGCACTTGCAAGAACACTAGCAAACACATTAATCCGTCGGCAATTATACATACATACAACCACATCATGTCATTACATCGCAACACTCTCTCAAATCACGGCATATTACTTCCTTAGAATTTTTTCATTTCTTTTCATACGACACTATAACTTCTTATTTCTAATAGGAACACCTTAGGTTCTGATTTTTAGATGACATCACAACATATTGATATAACAAGAAATCACATTATCAACTCATATATTATACACCTATCAATCACTTATATCATATCTCATACCAATATTTATATATATAAATAATAAGAATTAACATTACAAAAAACAATCACAACTAAATGTCACACGAACTTAATACTATGCACACAATAGTTTTTTCTCTCAAGCAAATCTTATAAACACCTTTTAAAGCATACAACTTGCACATCACATTTAATTACAAAATACAATGGCTTGAAAGAAATCTTATAAGAACTTGTAAATTTATTACACACTTTTGATATATTATCACATCCCTCATTTATATATTAAACAAGCATATTTCCTTTCATTTTAGCATCCGCGTCGTCTTCAAATGGCTTATGCGCGCCTTCAGTGGTCATTTACCGCCGGATCAGCTGCTAATACTGTGGGATTTGGTGCGCTCAAGAAATTTTATTTTAAAAACAGTATTTTTATAAATTTTCTTATTTAATGTTTTTTGCAGATACTTGGCTACGACAGTTTGGAAGTGCTCTCACTCTTTGCCATAATTATTTTAAGTTTCCGCAAAGATAGTCTTTTACAGGTCACATCGCTGGATAATATTGAGGCAATATTAGCGGATCTGTCATCAATTAAGGTGTTGCCACTTATACAATTGGCGCTCTGTCGCGATTAATCGCGATTAATTGGTGAGCCCTCAGAGCAGGTGGTTTATAAAATGATTATGATGACTTTATTTAGTATATTGGAAATTTATATGTATGTGATATTAATATGAATTTATTTTGTATTTATGTATGTCTAATAAAAATTTTTAAATAAAATATTAAAATTTTATGTTAGTTTTTGTTATGAAAAACATAAAAAATATTAACATATGACAACCCATTAAAAACCAAAATTTTTTTTTATCAATTAGGCAGAATGTTTTTTAACAATTATTTCAACTTTAAGTTCAAAATATTTCTATATAACTTTTATATATTATATAGTCCACTTAAAAGAATTTCAAAAATTTATATTATCTAAAATATATAAAGTTACATTATAAAATAAATTTATATTAATAAAAAAGGATTTTTATTAATTATGTATTTTTTTAATAATTTTAAATAATAAATAATTTGTTTTTTAATTCCCAAAAATCAACGTTTTTTTAGGCTGTCACAATAGGTGTGCCACTTAAATAAAAAATAATACAAATAAAAAAATTTAGTAAAAACCTTAAAAATGTACAAATGTGAGTTGCGAATTTTAGAATTAAAAATTTTTTGATATGAATTTAGATTTACAATTTTTAATTCGAATTTCGGTATTAAAAATAAAATTTTGCGATTGAAAATTAAGTTTTCAATTTTTATTTCGAATTTCGGAAAATAAAAAAAAAATGGGAGAAACTAATTGGAATTTTAATTTTTAATTCAACTTTTGGGAAATTAAAAAAAATTTAAAATGAAAATTAAATTTTTCATTTTAAACTAAAATTAAATTTTTAATTTTTTTTTATAAAAAAATTTTGCGATTAAATATTAAATTTTCAATTTTTATTTTGAATTGTGGGAAATTTATACAAATGGAAGAAATTAATTCGATTTTTAATTAAAATTTTGAGAAATAAAAAAAAACTTTTAATTTAATTTTGAATCGCAAAATCGGAATTATAAATTGAAAGTTTAATTTTCAATCCCAAAATTAGAATTAGAAATTGATAAAATATAAATCATTTGAATGTGTAGTTTTGTCGAACACTACTATAGAATAGTGTATAATTGTAGTCTGTGCGAGTTCTAATTCAAAATGACGAAAAAACGTGAATTCAAAACCAATTTTTGTTTTTTGGTTTTTTTAATTTTATTGTAATGTTAATCCAAAACATATATTTTTATTTTTCAAACGGATATTTTTAATTAAGATTTTGTGAATTTTATATTTAAAAATGTTAATTTAAAGGTTAATACAATTATTTTTTTTACTCATTATTTGCAATCCTGTATGAATTTAATGAAATTTTTAAGTATTTAAAATTTTTAGTCAGTTTTAAGCCGACTTAAATAATAAAAAGTTATAAAATATGCTAAGTTTGAAAGTTTTCAAACCAAATTTGAACTTAATTCAAGCAAAAAAAAAAAAAATATAGTGTATATATATGAGTGAATCAAATGAGATATTTTTAAATAATAGATAGATTTTGTCTTAAACTTACATTAAAACTCACTTCATTACATATTATAATTATACTTTTATTTAGGCAATTTTGTAAATTCAAATATACACAGTTTATTTTCCTTATAGTGGAACAACAATAATATAATTTTAATTTTTAATTTAGTAAGTATGCTTGTATGTGTATATAGTCGGTGCACATTTACATACACAATTATATATTTTATATAATTTTTAATTTTGTTTTAAAAAACTATTAAGGAAACTATGTATATCGGTGTGAATTTTTATTTATTTTTTATTTTATATTTTTTTCTATTTTAAAATTTGCTAACATTTTTATGTTTTGTTTTTATATTTTTTCTAAAGACATTTCATTTGTATATCTACGCATTTTAATATATGTTTGTATTTATGCTTTGATTTTCGGCGTCAATTCCAAGATTTAAATAATTTTTATTATATATTCATATTTGTTTTTAATGTTTAGTAACTTTTTTATGTTTGCTCTTTGTTTAGATAATTACACATTGATTTTAATACTATAACTCTAACTGTAAAATACACACACAAATAACGATGCTGCTTCGACACTTATGAGGTTGAAGGTTGACTTAAGTTTTTAATTTGTTTTAATCAGTAGTTAATACAGTAATAATTTATTTAATATTTTTATATGCGTCATATTAAAATGTGCAAACCGTTGCGGAGTTTGCCATGTTTCTTTTTTTATGTTTTTAGTATATAATTTTATTTGTAATATAATTACCTAACTACAAAAAAAATGTTTTTAAAATACACTAAAATTCGATATACATATATAACTGTTAATGTATATGGTATATGTAATGTATATGTAAATATTTTTTTTCAATTTTTATACAGGTATAAGTTTTTTAAGTATATGAATAGGCAATTTGCATGTTATTAACTACTTCAACTTGCACATAAACTTCAATTTTCTTCATTGCAAATTGTTTTTCAGTAAATACTCTGTGTTTTGTATTATGATTTTTTTCACTTTTGATATTATAAACGTCGCAAGTTTCATTTTTTATAGCTCATACGTGTTTGTTTAAAAATATTGTATTTAATTAATACAAATATTAAATCTAATTTTTCACATTGAAACTTTTGGAGAAGGTTGTAGCAACTCATATTAACAAGGATAGCTTGTAAAAATTAATATTCAGTTTTCAGAGAAATTTTCGTACTTTTTGTAAATTAAGTGAATTTGTTTTGAACACGTGGTGAGATCAGAAATTATATACAAAAAAATGTTTAAGGCGATAAAAAAGCATACAAAGACAAAAAAAACTGGCTGTAATTGAATTGTTTCTGCAGATAATCGACGATTAAAGAAAGCAATAAATTACAAAAATTATTTTAAAAATAACAACTCTACGATTAAGGAATTAATTAGTCGCAAATTTACAGCGGCTCTGCATTAGATCGAGCACTGACTTCCAAAAAACAAAGAAGAAAATAAAAATTATAATTACAGCGTCTTTTCATTAACTGTAGACACGAAAATGATTTAGTACTCGATATTTCTATAAATTATCGTTTTATAACACTCGAAAGATTTGTCTCTGATTTGTAGTAAAATTATTAAACTCTAAGTATGACGGATTTCAGATTATTTGTGGCAACATGTTAAAAGAAACTTAAATCGACTACAACTAATGAAATTATTTCGGTTTAAAATAAAAATCTGTTTATATACTTTGTCTACTTATTAACGCAGTTCGAAGCATACGATTGCACTGCATTTTTCGAGATTAAATACAACTTCGAGTACAGAATTTTTTATTAAAGCTCATTAGCATAAGCCGATGTAAGCTCTTTTAACAAATTGCCACTAAGTATACATGTAATAAACATTTAATATGTTAATTATAGTAAAAATATGTATATAAATTTCATTTTATAATTAAAATTTGAAAATATTTCATATTGATAAAAAAAATGTGCATTGCAATTTTTATACATTTCATTAAAAGTATGCTCTACACTTCATTTTAAAAGTAGTTGTTTGATCTCAAGCAAAGATTGGGTAGCTTTCAGTATACAAGACATCCTTTGTTGTTTAACAGCGCATTAAAAAAAATTTAAAAAGCGCAAATAGCAAAATACTATAACAACATATACATGAATACCAAGTTTTTACGAAAATAATGTATATGTATTTTTTAATTATTATAGCTAAAACGAATTTTATTTATTTTGTATTTTAACTTTTTTATATTTTTAGTTTTTATTTATGGTTATTGATATGATAGTAAATCACAACGATTTGTTATGCTGCTAAAATTATAGCTGTTATAGCTTATTGAAGTTATTTTTGCTTAAGCATTGAATTATATAAGCAGTTATGTAAATAACAGTTATAAATAAAGCATCTTTATACTGAAAAAATAAATAAGTCAATATTCTTCATAGAAATATAATATACCCACGGTGTAATCACGTCAAAAGCAGCGTTAAACGCAAAATTTTATTTAATTTTTAATAACAATTTAAAATTATTTTAATAAATTTTTATAAAATTATAAATAAAATTTTTATAAAATTGTACAATATATACATACATATTTTTTTATTGGAAATAACAATAATTATGGCGTAAAAAGACTGGCTTTACTCTTGGCCAATACAGTTTTATCAACTAAAGTTTTCCTAGAACACATAAGTATACAAATATTATTTTAATTGAAAGTATTGCTTTTTGAAGCTATTTAAAATAACTTGTAAATATAAAAAGTCAACGCATTTTTATTTTAACACTGTGGCTTTTAGTTTATGAATTTCGTTTCTGCTGATATTTAGAAAATTATTTAAAATAATCAAATCGAACACACTAAATTTTATAAAAAAAACATCAAAAGTTAATATTTAGGAAAAATATGCGAAATGTAAAAAATATATATTTACTTCGTCAATAATTTTTGGAATTAGGTTAGGAATAGTGTTGCCCAACAAATTGTTTTTAAAAAAATTCAAAAGAAGTTAATTTTTAGAAAAAATATGCGAAAAATTAAAAAAATTTGGTTTATTTCGTCAATAATTTTTGGAATTAAGTTAGGAAAAATAATATTCAACAAATTTTCAAAAAAAAAAAAAAAAAACAATACCAAAACAAGTTAATTTTTAGAAAAAATATGCGAAAACTGGAAAAAAATAAACTAATTTACTTTTTTTACTTAATTTACTTTATCAATAATTTTTGGAATTAGGATAGGAATAATAATATCCAACAAAGTTAAATAAATAAAAAATAATTTCAAAAAACCAAATTTTCAGAAAAAATATTCGAAAAGTGAAAAAAACATATATTACTTCGTCAATAATTTTTGGAATTAGTTTGGGAATAATAATACCCAACACTGTTTACATAGCAATAGCTAGCTAGCTTGTATAGCTGCAGAAAATATAATCGTCCTAGTTGTTTTTCAAAGCAACTACCAATTAGTAGAAATAATTAATTCAAGAAATAAATTTATTGACGAACCGCATTATTGCTTCATTTAAAATATATATATTCGTTATGCAAACACAAATTTTGAGCATTTTAAAATTAATTCAATGAAATTATATTTACTTTTATTTAACATAGAAAACATGGAAAACATCGCAACGCAATATTAAGTCATTTTAGAAAACTAATAAATTTAAAAAAAAAAATTCCAAATATAAAAAAAAATTTATAGAAATTATAAAATGGGAAATAGAATTTAAAATAGAAAACAAATTTCAGATAATATATGTAAATGTTAAATCAAATATGCAAACGTTATAAATTACACCTATTTTTTGTTTTTGTTTGTTGTTGCGCACATATTCTGTTTTTCGTAACACATTTGATTTTATTGCTCGTGCGGCGCTTCGCGCGATTTTTGGCATGATTTGAAAAGTGGCAAAACAAAAAATATATTGGACAGCCTTCTCCGCGTGCCTGTTGCTGCTGTTGTTGTTGTTATTCTGCGCCGTGTTGTCGCCGGTTGCATCGTATTTCATGGATTGTTGTTCTCGCCGCAGCATTGGATGCAATCCATGCAGTTATGCTACCTGTTGCCATCGCCTTTTCTATTTATATTCGATGATGTCAGTTGAACCTGTTTGCGAGTGTTAACAGCGGAGTGAAGCAGAATAACAGAAGCAAATGAAATATTTTACATTATTGTAAGCGTATGGCGCTTATCTTATTTAAGCATATTATTTTGTATAGTTATTATTGTATATTTGAAGGTACAAAAAATGGCGAGTTGGAAAATATTTCGACAAAAAAAATGAAAACATAATAAACGGAAACTCAAAAGAGAGTATACAAGTGGAAGAGAGTAGCAGATAAATTTAAGCGATAGTATAAGTGAATGCCAGTAAGTGCAAGAAAAGCTAAATTAAAGGAATTTAAGTGTTTTTGGGTTGAGAGAGACTAGCAAAACCAGAATTCTTAATCGAATTCTTAAAAACTTTTTTCTCTAAAAATTAAACTAGCTTTCTTTTGTTAGAGTATAATATTTCTTTTCAAATACAAGAATAATTTCAAGTGCTAACTTTGAATAGAGAAGCATTCAAAATACGAAAAATTGGCGCATTTTGCGAAAATTATCTAATATTTTAAGTTCATAACTGTTATCTCCTTGTATATATCTTACAAACCGAACTAAATGTAAGAACTGAATTTGTTCAAATATATAGCCTCGTTAGTTTTTGGATTGATTTTGGTATTTACAAAATCCTTAGTTTCAAATTCAATACAATATAAATAAAAATGGCTTTGTGCTAATATTTTTAGTCAATGTTTTAGGAAACTTAAAAAACTCGGCTGCACCGAAGCTGTAATACACTTCACAGTTGCATTTCTTATAGCGCAAAAGGGTATAAAAAATAAATATATATATATATTTTGATTAATCAGTTTGAATTCTAGCTGTATGCTATATTGAAACATTTTTTAGGAAGTTATAGCGTTGTTTCGGACAATAATTCGTGCTTAATTTCGTGAAAATAATTTGTCAATAAAAAATTTTCCATTCAGGAACTTGATTTTGCTCGATCAGTTTGTATTGCAGCTATATGCTATAGCGATCCGATCGGAGCAATTTCTTTGGAGATTGCAGCATTGCCTTAGACAATAACCCATGCCAAATTTTGTGAAGATAACTCGTCAAATGAAAGAGTCTTCCTTACGAGCACTTGAATCCGATCATTCAGTTTGTATGGCAGCTATATGGTATTGTATTCGATCTGAAAAATTTCTTCGGAGATAGTATAATTCCCTTAGATAATAACCCATGCCAAATTTTGTGAAGATAACTCGTTAAATGAAAAAGTTTTCCACACAAGCACTTAATTCAGATCGTTCAGTTTGTATGGCACCAATAAGCTATGGTGATCCGATCTAAGCACTTTTTTCGGAGATTACATTAATGTCTTAGGCAATAACCCATGCCAAATTTCATGAAAATATCTCGTCAAATACAAAACTTTTCTATACAACTACATTATTTCGATCGTTCAGTTTGTATGGCAGCTATATGCTGTAGTGGTTCGATATCGGCGGTTCCGACAAATGAGCAGTTTATTTGGAAAAAAATGGACATGTGCGAAACTTCAGATCGATTTATCAAAATCTGAGGGACTAAATGGTACAAAAGTTGGAAGCCTTCGATGGCAGCGCTATTGTATAATACAATCGAGTTAAACAAAAAAAAATTAAACGATCTGTTCATTACTTACGTATGTAAATATTTGGATATTATTTAATTTTGGCTCCATTACTTAGCAATTATTGAAAAATTGAATATAGAAACCAAAATGCAAAAAAAATGTTGGATATAGCTATATACAATATATACATACAACTTTTTATATGGGATTTCTAGGTTAAAAAATGCTAATCTGTTTCAATCATTGAATATTTTCTTTGGCACAAATAAAAACAATTTCAAATTCCTTATAGCATAACTAAAACTCCAATTTGTTAGGATACTGGCATTGTCTTCAAAATCGAAAAATAAAATAAGATTTAGTTAAATCGGCAAGCTGACAGTTGTGAGAGTGGCGGTGATTTTACTAGTCTTTCATTAACAATTTATGCACTTACAAATCCAATCTTTCAATTTTTCATTTACCAATTATTTTTTGTGCATTTAAAAATATATGTACTTGATATCATGCTAGATACTATTTCTTAAATTGAAATTCAAGCAGGTGCTTAATGCTTAAAGCTATGTATATAGAGAAATTAAATGCGATACAAGTCAGCATCGATTGTTTAAACCTACAAACTACAAATGAAAAGCAAACTTTAGGTGCATTTCTTCTACGTTGCTCTTTTGTTTTAATTTATTTATTTTATTTTTTTTTTATTTGCTACAAAAACTGACCTTTGATCCTTGCATCGGAAATGTTGCGAGAATTCAGATTTAACTGTTGATTTAGTTTTCAACGCCAAATTTTCAGGATTTTTATTTTTTTTATTTTCCAAAACACATATCAAATAGAAAACAGTCACATTAGGTGGTGGTGAAGAGTAGACAAATAGTAGTAGTAGTAGTAGTAGGGAAATTCTTAGCTTAGACAAGTAAACATACATAAAATGTTTAAAATATAAATGAAATGAAACAAAAATTTTACACAAATTGGCCAAACGTGAAATAGCTTCAGAGTTTCAAATTATAGCAACAAAAGCGAACAAAAATGCTTAACGCTTTACAAAGTGGCTTTTCACCATACAAATTCGAGCAGGTGGCTTAATTATTATCGTATTTATTGTCTGTGTATTGTGCGCGTACATAAAGGGTTGTGTAGAAATCTTAAACACATTAAAGTGAACAGTGAGAGTGTAGATAGTATATATATATATAGGTTTATATAAATATATATTCTCATATTGTCTTAGTTGAAACTCACCTGCAGTGAACGTATCGTGTCGAGTAAAGCCTTTTTCTCCTCCAATAGTATGGTTATATCGTCTTGCGCCGCTTTCAGATACGAGCGCAACACGTCGTTCTCCTGTTTGCACTTTTGTCTATATCAAAAGAGAGGATTATGCACATACTACTTTTTTCTAAAATTATATTTTCTTGCTTACCTATATGTATCGGCATTTTCTTTCGCATTTACTAGCTGCTTACGCAAATTTTCATTATCCATTTTGAGCTGCTGCATGACCAGCTGCATGGAGAGTATTTCTCGATCACGTTCGCGATCGCGTGGTGTTAGTGCAGCAGTTGTTAGCGGATAGTTTATAGTTGCTACCTCATTTAGACCAGTTTCTGTATTGAAAATAAATTGAAACTTGTTTATAAACATTATAAAAGATGTATTATCAAGTTAGTTGTCAAAAATATTTTTCTTTACATTTTTTTTTATCAACTTAACTATTTGATTATTGATTATTGATTTAATTATATTATGATGTAACTGTGACAAAAAAAGATTTAACCTTCCGAAACTACAAGTACAATACCCTTCACAATTAAAAAATTGTTCCATACAAAGACTTGATTTTGATAGTTTAGTTTGTTTGGCAGCTATGTGCTATAGTGGTCCGATCTGAACGATTTGTTCGGAGATTATAGCGTCTTCTAGGACAATAATGTATGCTAGATTTCCGGAAGATAGCTTGTCAAATAAAAAAATTTCCACACCAGGGCTTGATTTTGATGGACCAGTTTGTATGACAGATATATCCTATAGTGGTCCGATCTAAACGATTGTTCGAAGATTTTAGTGGCCGCCTAGATTTAGGACAATAATCTATGCTAGATTTCCTGAAGATATTCCGTTTCCTTCGTATTGACAAACTTCGTGGCAAACTTTATAAACCCTATTTAGGACATAAAAAATTTAATACACACCTATTGGTTGTATATTGACAATGCCATTTTTGTCACGATGTATGCGCATGCGTCCGATCGCCAGACGTATTGGCACTGGACCCGGTGAGGTAATATTAACGGGCGGACGATCTTCGAGTAAGTTAAGCTTGACATTTTCCACATGAATCTATAGAATAGAATAAAAGACATAACAATGAAAAACTGTAAATTTCTGTACTGCTATGCGCGCTATTTACCGTAACAGGCAAAGGGTTAGTGATGATTTCATCCTCTGCTAAATCACCCAAACCTATAACGGTGCTCATGGACAAATCCAAATTAACATCCTTGACGCGCACTTCAGCATGATGCGAAATCCAACTGTGTGTTTTGAAGATTTGAAGGTAAAAATATAATAATTAAGGAACAAAAAAAATTCAACTCACCTCTGCAAAGATTTTTTATCCGTGACGCTTACATTGCCCTGCGGCAGGTTCAAAGTCTCCTCCAAACGCACACGTATGCAAGGTGGCAACTCCGGATTATAGGGCGCTAAGTTCCAAGCTTTACAACGTGCGCCAAACTTAGTCTAAATGTCGGGTAAGCATGCAAAATGAGAGTAGCACATATTGATTTGTAATATTATATAATTTTCAAGAATTTACTATATAATTAAAATAACACGAAATTGTACGATATTGTACGAAAGCAAAGCCAATTGTGTATACAGCCAAAGAGTAAGCTTACAACATATAATATAACAACAGCAACATGCATGCAACTATAATTGATAGTATTAGAGTCGTGCAATGAACAACTTATTTTCGCTCATGAGTTTCCACAGATATAATGAGAATTTTTAAAATATTGAAACTCTCTACTTTTACCAGTGCAACTAATAATTAAAATATCATGCAGTGCAAAGAAGCGCTTAGCAAAATGTATGTATATCGATTGACTATTCAAGTAGATGAAGCGTATGTATGTGTATACTCATGATTTTAGTATGTTTTGTATGAACATCAGTTTGTAGTATGTATGTATGTATATATATTGTGTTGTAAAAGTATAAATTAAAGTTGAAGTACTTATTTCGTATGTGTGATGGTTTAAGAAATAGCCAATTCAAGTTATATATATGTAGGGATGTGCTTTTGGAATTTTTGTGCGCGACATTTTTGAATTTGAAAGTAATTTCGTAGCTCTTATACAATAAAGTAATCTTAATATTATAAGGAAACACATTTTAATATGTTAATAAGTCTCATATTAGGCCATTTGTCTACTATTTCGCTAAAATATCGAACAATGTTAAACCTTTAATATTAGTATTTAATTCTGGACTATAATTACAAAGGCTTACGAATGCTGATTTGAGGGTTTGACTTACTTCTATATGAAGTTTTATAAAATTGAATATGAAGATATATAAGATATTTTTGGCATACAAATTTGTATCATACAATCTGTAGACAGTCGGCTTAAAAGTTGTAGAACCCGCTAATTGCGCCGATTATGGATTCGAAAATACCTTATTTATTGCAATAAAAAAATCGTATTGAATTAAAGTGTTGTTAATGAAGTTTTTTAAATTTAAAACAAGAAAAAACGTAAACCGGGTATACACCTCAGCTATAATAGGGCAATTTCTGATAGCAACTATATGTATGTAACAGCTTCAAGTCGAATTAAGATTAAGTAATAAGGAAAATTAATATTTTATGAAGATATTTATATGGATTTGAGCGGTCAGTTTGCATGGCAGCTATATGCTACATGGTTCAATCTGAACAGTATATTCGGAGATTGTAGCATTGCCTTGGACAAAAATTTATGTCAGATTTCGTAGATATAACTTGTCAAAAAAAAAAATGTTTTCCATATAAGAGTTTGATTTTGATCGGCAGCTATATGTTATAGTAGTCCGATCTGAACAATAATCTATGCAAAATTTATTGAAAATATCTTGTCAAATAAACAAGTTTTTCATAAAAGGACATGGATCGTTCAGTTTGTATGATAGCTATATGCTTTAGTGGTCCGATATCGTTGGTTCTGACAAACTTTCCTTTCTTTGCGAGAAAAGAACGTGTGCAAATTTTCAGATCAATATCTCAAAAACTGAAGGAGTCTAGTTCGCGTATATACAGATAGACAGACACGCTGATCATTTATATATATATTTCTAGCGTCTCCGACGTTTCTTTTAGAATTTTACAAACTTTAGTTAGTTTGGTAAAGTTTTACAAACTTTAGCAAGGTATAAAAATACTTCTTCTTAAAATAAAGTATTTTACTCAAAAAACCATATATACTATTATCCTACCATTGATGATGATGGTCTTATTAAAATTTCGTAAAAAAAATCTAAACTCAATCGCTTTTCAACTCACACTTTGAATTTCTTAATGTCGTGTAATTTTCTTCGTTGACTTTTTATTAAAAAATCCAATTATTAATAACAAATTAGTACTAAACTTAAAGAAATGAAAAAAATTCAATTGGAGAATAAATAAAGCGACAAAAGCAACAAATAATAACTAACAACATTCCACTAAGAAATCTACTTTATTGAAAATATATTTTTTAAATGTTTTTTTATATTTTTGAAATATTTTTAAAATGTTTAAATAATTCCATAACTATTGCTATGTTTATTGAATTTATTATCTGGATATAAATAAATTCTGTAAATCTAAATAACGCATGCAATTCAAAATGTGGTTTTAAGAAATAGAGAATATGGAATAAAAGGTTTTTTTTTTTAATTTGAGAAAAAGCAAGTAGTTCAAAAATGTAAGTATTATTAGGTGACAGTCCAACTTTTAAAATAATAACAGCTTCGGGGTATATCAATAGGTCGCTAAAGTAAGAAGCCGCAATAAAAAAACCTGTTTTTCAAAACGCTAAATTATAAAAAAGTTTAAGTTTTTGGAGTTAATCAGACAAAAAAGAAACCGTAAAAAGTGCATACATCCCTGAGCGCCGATTATTATCTCTAAAATGTTAAAATACGATTCTCTAAAAATTAGTTTCCAACTTAATTGATGTCAAATGGAAACCAGTTTTTTTTAATGAACGGCATGTACATATGTAATCCTTATACTATTTTAAAAGTTTGTAATATTTATATAATTTTCGAAAATATGCCATAAGCTGATTAATTAAACGAAAATATTGGCTTAATTGTTCGATTAATATTATTCTTTGTTTGAAAGATTGGTTGTGGCTAGGCAGATTTTGCAGTGAATAATAACATAATTGTTGTCATGTTTTTGTACAAAAAAATGATGTGCATAACTATTTTTAATAATTTTAATTATATTAGGAAATTTTAATCATGCAAATTTCACAAGTATTTATTTTTAAGTAATAACTGAATGACCACAAGTCTAAAACCGCTTCAGAATACAAGCTAAGAAACTTGTAAGTATTTTATTTCAAAAATTCAACAAAGGATATGACATTCTTTCCATATTTTAAGATACTGGCTCAACGGAACTGAGTCTTAGAAAGATTTATCGAGGTTAGGTTTAGATATTTTATGTTAATTAAGTTTGGAGGCTCTATCAATAAGTTCAGTTTTGAAGTCAGTTAATCTTTCCGTTAGATGGCGCTGAAAATTTAGTTTTTATGCTATTTCCTAGTAATAGTATTGTTACAAAGTCAATTTTATTATTTTGCTTAAAAGAGGACAATATATAACACTTTTAAAGGATAAAAAAATATATAAGTGCTATATATAACTTAGGTACAGCTTTTAAAAATGTTTAAATCTGTTTCAAAGGAAACTTATTGAAGGAAACTGCATAGAGTATAACAACTTAAATTATATATATTTTATTTTAAGCTCAAACTCCAAAAAATAACTTCAAATCTCCGATAGACAAACACTTGACTGCAGTTAAATTTGTATAGGATAGGTAATTTGAATATAATATTTATAGGACGCTCTATAATAAAGAAATTAAAAACCTGTACTTAATCAACCATAGCAAAAAGCCCAAAAAAGTAGTATCGTTATCGATAAGTTTTCAAAACTTTTAAACATTTTAGTAAGAAAAGGGAGGGGGTGTGTTACAAGAAATGGTATTATTTGAACATTAAAATATAGTAAGCATAAACCGCAAAACTTACAACACTACTTTCAATAGAAACAGAAAATTTTATACAAAAAAAAAAACCAAAACAAAAAATCAAAATTATTAAAGCAACGTTTTGAAAGAAAAAATTAAATTTAGAAATTCCAATATAACCTAAGTAAATGCAAGTAGGAATCCAACTAAAATACCCATAATGCAAATTGAATGCTTAATAATAAGAATTTTGCAAAAATATTATAAGAATTGAATGAGCTTTTATATACCTTATTTGCTTGTTGAGCTTTCTGTTTTTTTTTTTCAAATGAATTGTAGGCAGATTTTGATATAATATTTTGTAGGATTTAATTTTTTTTTTTTTTTGATTTTGTCGTTGTAGATATTATGTGGTATTATGTAATACGAGTATGTCGGTGTTTTTTTTTTTTTTGGTGGGTAAGAGTAGAATTGTTTCCATTTGATAGTTGTGGTTTTTTCGTTTTGGAATTCAGAAAATATTTTACAATATAAATACATATATGAATATTGTGTGTCGAACGTTAATTGTTTGATTACGTATGTATGTATTTGGGGATATATTTTATAAATGTTGATAATTTAGCACACATCGAGAATTTTGTTGAAAAAGAGAGAGAAAAGAGAATAAACAAAAATGAAATTTTAAAATATAATTTTTTTACAGTTGACTTTTTCACTTATGAAATTTATATGCATATGTATGTATGTAGTATGATTCATACGGCTGTAGGGCGTATGGAAAGTGTTTAAGAGAACTGGAAGAGTAAGAAAATAATTCAGAATACGCTAATATTAGAATTTTAATTATTAGATTTTATTAGAAAATGTTCTATAAACTGCAGGTGTTTTTTTTTTGTATTGCTTCCTAGGAAATTTCAAATCGCATAGTTTAAGAGAAAAAAAGAGTTCGCGAATAATTTTTGCCATTGTAGTAGAACAATAATTGAGTAATGCTATTGAGTTGATGGTCCGAGTATAAATTTGCGAAAGTTCCATTTACATATACCTGACGGTAGCAGAAATGGACTATATGGTAATAGTATGTCTTAAGACACCTTCAAAATTCAAAATACAATAAATTACATTAACAGGATATTTTCTATGCCCTAAAAAGATGTCGACGTCTAACATTTCAACTTTTATGAATAATTAATTTAATTGTTTTTCAAACTGTTTTTGAACAATTTTTTTAGAATATATAGCTTTTAATTATTTTTTAGTAAAAAAAATATATTTTTTGAAACCTAAGCTGTCGAATATATTATAAAACATTGGGGAGGCCTTGGAAAAATGTTGTGTTTCAAATTTGTCTAAGATTCTTAATTCACTTTCCATAAACGCCCAAAGTTGCTAATTTTCAAATTTTCATACGTCGAAATTCGTAAATGATTTCGATTGTGAAGGAATAAATGTGAGAAAATTGAAAATCGTAGGCATGCAAAAAGTTATAACCAGACATTATCCGCATATTTGAATATTTAATACATAATTTAAATAAAAACTTGTAACTGATGATTAATTAGAAAAAAGTTGTAATAAAAATTGAAAAACTATTTACAATAAAAAATAAATAAACAGTGAAAGAAAGTGAAAATAAATCAAAATATAACAAATAACACAAATTATAATGACAAAGAAAACTAGGTTTTATAGAAAAAAATATATTTTATAAAAAAATATATATTTTATAAAAAAATATATATTTTATAAAAAAAATTAATTTAAAAAGGAAAATAAAATTACATTAAATTAAAATAAACATGAAACAAATATTACAACGCAAGCTCAATTCACAACTAAAAAATACAAAACGTACAAACTAAACAAACAAAAATACAAAGAAAGAAATTTAAATGAGTTAAAAATTTTCGATTATGTATTAAGTTTAGAAATTGTGTATAAGAAGGAAAAAAATAAAGTAACAATTAACAACAAAACAACAATACCTGCAATTCATCCCAAGGAATGGCGCCACATTCATCGCACGAAACAGCGGCCACCTGCAGGCGCAGAGATGAGGCATTACCCTCATTTTGACGTATCAACTCAACTGTTGTTAATCTATTGAAATTATAATACAAAATAATTAACAACATTTCTTTCGTAGTTACTAAACAGATTTAAGTGAATCCAAGAGACACACACACCTAAAAGTTGCCATTGATACTAAATCGCGTCGCCGCCAAGTGCTTGCCTCGGACGGCTCTGACGGTGATGATAAGTTAGTTTTATTGTAACCAGGTTCCTCTAGCACTTCGCTGGCTACCTCGACGGGTGATGCTTTCAAGTTGGTGTCATTGGTGAAGGGATTTAATCTTTAAATAAGTTGTATAACACAATAATGATAGCAATAAATTGGGTGAAGTTATTTGAAATCGTACCTAAACATAACATCAATGCAATCCATTGTCTTATCATCGCCCATAACTATGGCGAAGTTTTCCGAATCGGAACTAATATCACTTTGTATGGAGAATGTATCACTGGTGTCATCGTTTGGTGTACCAGATTTGATGGCCGAATCGATGGACGTCATAAAACTGGAGAAGCCTTTTTTCATAGACATCAGACCTGGAAGGTATTGAGTTCTATTTGAAATTGTATATATTTACAGTAGAACTTAAATATTACAATGGCCGAACATAACCTAATATTTTTCGAAATTTTTAGAAAAAGCTTTGAGGTGTGCATATATATATATGTGCATCAAATTTTAAAAACAAAAAACTAAAAATTTTAATCGATTTCATAAATAGTTTTTGGGTTATAGTCTTCTAACTCAATAGCCGTTCAATGATTACTCGGAGACAAATATCACTATCAAATTTTTCTTAAATGTTATGTATATGCCTGCTCTCTGTACAATGACTCTATATAATTTTGGCTTCTTAAGATTATTTATTGTCTTTTTTTTTTGTACAATATATATATTCTAAAAAAAAAATACAATGCTCTAATCTCACATAAGGTAATTTTTTCTCCTATAAAAAATAACTTCAAAGTATAAACTAAATCACTTAGGTCCCCTTATTTTATTTTACTATACAGAGATTCAAACTGTTTCTTGTTTAAAATTTACTTTCTACTTGTAAGCTTAGTAATAACATAAATGATATACTAAAACTACTGCAAAATGCAACTAAATAAAAATATAAAAAAAAAGTATATTTTCCTTACTAGAATTGATTTCTTTCGTTATACTAGTCGCATCGCCCGCATTCGAAGTTCGTGCTGAGCGCACACTCTTCGTCGATGCTGTAATGGACTGCGAGTAAACACCAGTATCAGGGCGTGAACCCTGACTAGGTGTAGAGGACGCTACAGTGGGTGTACTTTGAATTTGCACATTGTAACTGAAAGCAGAACAAAAAATTAATAATTAAAAAGGACATTACCTTGTAATCATTACTACTACTACTACTAACCCATGCGTATTTGGATTTGAAGTGTGCATAACACCATCAAAGAGCGGTTCATTCGTGACCGGTGAAGGTGTCTCCACACTACCATATATATTACTCTTCACTTGCTCTAACGGTGGTGTAGGCCATATAGTGTTTGTACCTGTCAAAGGAAGTGATAAATTAGAAAGTTCATTATACAAAATGCATGCAATATTTGCGCCAGTGGTATGTATTTCATAGCACGAGTAGTGATTGCTTGAAAGTTTATAGCAGTTCTTTATTTTCTTTTGAGTTTTAAGTGGTTTGTGGTTGGTTGGTGTGGCTGAATGGAATTGTGAGCAGTTCAGCATCTACGTTGATTAGTGGTATTAATGTTATTTATGAGGACAAAACATGCAGAATTTATTCGAGATTAAAAAATATATTTAAAAAAAGAAAAGAATAAATGAAATTGTTATTAAGCTACACACGCACACACACACACATTAAGATGATTAAAAATAAATTAGTGAAATATTGCCTAAAAGACGAGACAAAAATATATTCAAACTAGGCTATGCAGAAGTCTAAGTTTGAGTAATATTGAGTAGTTATAAAATCAGTTTTAGGCAAAATAAAAAAGTGTAAATTTTAGATGACATGCTGGAATTGAATTGCATAAAAGATATGCCAAATATATGCCTTGAAGGGTAAAAAATAAACTCCAAGGAAGTTATTTATACCAAATTAAATAAAAATAATCTAAAACAAATTAAATACTTTTTAGAGATATTTATTAATTTTTATTTCTCCATTTCCGTCATTTAGAAAGTATTTGCTTTAAGAATTTCTAAAGAAAAAATGTATTTAGTATTAAAAACCAAAAATACCCCAAAAGGAAATAAAATACCCTTAAGGGGGTTTTTTGTTAATATAATTTTTTCGTTTTGCTCTCATGTGTCAATAAATAGCAGTTGCTTTAAGGTTCTATAAATAATTGTTTACTAACGAAGAAATTTATCTAGTATTAAAGAAATACCCCGAAAAGAAATAAAGTACTCTCAAGGAAATTATTTGTTCATATGTATTTTTTTGGTCTCATGTGTCAATAAATAAGAGCTTCAAAGGTGTATAAATAAAGCCTTTCTAGGAAAGAAATTTATCTTTTAAATAAACAATATCCCAGAAGGGAATAAAACAAAAATTATTTTTAAGTAGAACTTTTTGTTAATATAAATTGGTCCGCTCTTATTTGGAGTCAATAAGTAAGAGTTGCTTTAAAGCTCTATTTATAATGTTCTCTAAAAAAGAAATTAAAAAAAAATCCCCGAAAGGAAATAAAGTGCTCTCAAGGGAATTATTTGATAATACGAAATTTTTTCTCGTGAATCAATAAATAAGAGCTTTAAAGGTGTATAAATAAAGGGCTTCTACTGAAATTTTTGAAGTATTAAAACAATATCCCAGAAGGAAACAAAAAAATGTATTTTTAGTAAAACTTTCTGTTAATATAATATTTGTCAATTTGTAAGGGTTGTTCTAAAGTTCTATAAATAAATTTCTTTTAAGAAAGACATTTATCTAGTATTAAAAAAAACACCCCGAAAGCAAATAAAATAATCTTAAGGGGAGTTTTTGATATTTTTTTTTTAATTTTTTCTTTCTTTATACTGCCATAAACCGGTACCACAACAATATTATCTAATACAGCAAGAGTATACAAAAAATGTATTACTTTCGCAATTTATATAAAAATTATAACGGTTTCATATATTATTAGACCAGCGTAGATAATTTTTAAAAGCAAAGAAATTAATAGTAAAATTAAAA